GAGCTTGAGGGCGACAGCAGCAGCAGCAGCAGCAGCAGAAACACCAGCAACCGCAGCAACAGCACCAGCAGCAGCACCAGCAGCAGCACCAACAGCACCAGCAGCAGCAGCAGCAGCAGCAGCAGGAGCAGCAGCAGCAGCAGCATACCGGTAGCCCTGTCTGATAGAATTCGATGAGCTTGAGGGCGACAGCAGCAGCAGCAGCAGCAGCAGCACGACCGGCACCAGCAGCAGCAGCACCAACAGCACCAGCAGCAGCAGCAGCAGCAGCAGCAGCAGCAGCAGCAGCAGCAGCAGCAGCAGCAGCAGCAGCAGCATACCGGTAGCCCTGTCTGATAGAATTCGATGAGCTTGAGGGCGACCTCCGCCTCTACACTGATGCCGAGGCCAAACGCCGCATGCATCACGTCATGCAGCTGAAGATTCATAAACAATAAACCCTAAACCCTAAACCCTAAACCCTAAACCCTAAACCCTAAACCCTAAACCCTCAACCCTAAACCCTAAACCCTAAACCCTAAACCCTAAACCCTAAACCCTAAACCCTAAACCCTAAACCCTTAAACCCTAAACCCTAAACCCTAAACCCTAAACCCTAAACCCTAAACCCTAAACCCTAAACCCTAAAGCCTGAATGTTAAGTATTAAACCCTTGTAAACCCTCGAACCCGCACGCGAAAATATTTTCTGCCTGTGTTCTACACCAAACCCTAAACCCTAAACCCTAACCCCTACCCCCCCAAACCCCAAACCCTAAACCCTAAACCCTAAACCCTAAACCCTCGTTACTTGTCTGTAGCGTGTGAGCACGTAAGCCAACTCCTCGTCCTCGATGAACCGCACCGGCTGGCGGTGGCCCGCATGCAGAGAGTTTGAATCGAGAAACCTCATCAGTGCATACCTAAACCCTCAAAAACCCTAAACCCTAAACCCTAAACCCTAAACCCTGGATTTTTTATTCTTCAACCCTGTAGAGAAACTCTTACGCTAAACCCTAACACATGAAACACGAAAAATATATACACTGGAGGCAAGAAACAAAATACTCTAAACCCTAAACCCTCAAAACCCTAAACCCTCAAAACCCTAAACCCTAAACCCTAAACCCTAAACCCTAAACCCTCGACCTCACCCCAGAGTGTCTTTGGGGAGCCGCCTCAGGGCCTCGTAGTTTATAAATCTTTCGTCAAACAAAAGCCGCTGCTGCAGCACCTCTCGGCCTTCTTCATCTTCTCTACACACAAACCCTAAACCCTAAACCCTAAACCCTAAACCCTAAACCCTCTTTTTTCAACGCATATTCATATAAAGGCAAAAAAAGAAGAAACGTATCCTAAACACTAAACACCCGTAAACCCTAAACCCTAAACCCTAGACCCTTAACCCTAAACCCTAAACCCTAAACCCTAGAAAACCCTAAACCCTAAACTTGAAACACAAAACCCTCTAAAACCCCAAACCCTAAACCAAAAAAAACCTAGACCCTAGACCCTAGACGTTAAACCCTAAACCCCCCAAAACCCTAAACCCTCAACCCTAAACCCTAAACCCTAAACCCTAAACCCTTACATCATGGTATCTCTCATACGTTGTATTTGTGTATCAGCAAACAATTCACTTAATGTAGAAATATGTATATCTTCTGTTGGTTTATTTATAGCTTTATATGCACACTCAGCAGCTACTCTGCCCTTTATTAACATATTATACACAAAAGAAAAATATACAGATCCTTCTCGTGCTGCTGCTGCTGCTGCTGCTCCTGCTGCACCTATTGCTGCTGCAGCAACACGTAGAGGAGAACCAGAAGCATCTCCCGCTGCACCTATCATGGGGGCCCCCCCCAGGGGGGCCCCCCCAAGGGGGGCCCTAGCTTCCACTGGTATTCCTTCATAACCCTTTGGGGTTTGTCAGCAGCAGTAAACCCTCTGCCTGGGGGCCCCTCAGCTGCGCCGAGAGGGGGCCCCCAGGGGGGCCCCAGGGGGGCCCCCCCCTGAGGGGGGGGCCCCCACGGGGGCCCCCCAGGGGGCGGGGGGCCCCCAGGGGGGCCCCCAAAAGGGTTGTTAATATTTATT